GCCTCGGGCTGCGGCTCCGCGCCGTGGTGGGCGCAGCAGGAGGCGCCGGCGCTGGAGAACATGGCGCCGGAGGGTCGTTGGAGGCTGCTGCGCGGTCGCGTTTCTGTTTGCGCGCCCGGGCGCCCATCTGTGGAGCAGAGGGCACGGAGGACGCGAGGCCCGAAAGAGGAAAGCTCCTGCGAGCGCAGAGTGGACTTGGGCCAACATGGGCAGCGGAGGAGCGACACGTCTGTAAGGAAAACAGACCCTTTGAAAAGGGAAACTTCCGACTCCTGCATTCTCCCTTGTGCGTCTCGGAGGGTACGTGCCGGAGCACGACCCACGGGAGCAGCGCGCCTCGTCTCCTTCCTCCGTGCGTCCCAGAGGGTACGTGCGTCCCAGAGATGGTTGATTACCCTCCGCGGTCGCCACCCTCAATTGCGACCGCGAAGGGTAAGCAACCATCTCTTCCCAGAACGTGTGAAACTAGATTGAAACCACGGTGTGCGCCTCATGGATGAAACTCCTCCCTGGCTCTGAAACTCCTGGTCCGAACTTTGCGCGGGAGGCGCGCACTACAAAGCCACTTCAACCGCGTACGAAACGTCCCTTCTAAGAACACGTCCAAGTTCCCTCCTGCCCTGGCGGCGCTCACAGGGAATGGCGCGAGAGGGGCCTGGCTTGTAAGAAAGCGATGGCTTCTTTGAAGGCGGGGGCCCTCTGAGAAGGTTTCTCAGAGCCGCGGGGGCTTCGAAAAAAAACCCGCCGCCTCCGTAGAACCCAGTCCCTCTCACGCCACGCCGCCATCTGCCCAAAGTGGAACATCCGCCACCGTGCAGCGAGGCACGAATTGGAGCACCCTCGCCTGTAGTCCAAAGTCCCCTGTCCTCAGGAATGAATATTGAGGGGCATGGACTCCAAACTTTCAAATGCTCCTGGGATCCCCTTGTGCTTCCCGCGGTTACCCAGCGTTTCCTGCATGACTTTTCTCAGAGCCGCGAGCGTCCCAACACGGGCCAAGAAGGCCCCGAGACGCCTCCGACCTACCGCCCAGGTACGGTGGCGGGATGGGCCGAAGGCCAGCAGATGCCACGACACAGCCGCAAACTCGTGCAGGCCGCGCGGATCCTCCGAGCCTGGCGCCAGACTTCCCTCCCCGCTCCACCAGCCCCGGCGCGTGGAGCGCGCCAGGGACGGCACTGCAGGCGGTCCAGCGCCGACCCGAAGCACCTCTGAGAGCTTGCAGCCCTCGCGCTGCCACAAATAGGGGGCCACATGCGAACCCTGCCCCTGCCCCCCACGGCTTCTGAGGGGGAGGGTGGGGCTAACTTCGCTCCCCCTTCAGACATCGTGGGGGCTAGGGGGCAGGATTCGAAGGTGGCCCCCTGACAAGAGTGGCTCGAAAGCAGGCGCGCAGGGGGGTTCTTCTTTCCCGGCCGCGGTGCGCCTCGGCCACGAGCCGGCTCCCCCGACCCAGGCACGAGGAGCGGGCGGCAGGAACGCCCGGGCCAGTCCCGAGGCGAGAGGGAGGGCCCTGCTCGCCACGTCTTGCCTGGCCCGGCTGCGCTCCTGCCCTCGAGGCCTGTGCAGGATGCGTGGCGCTCCTGCCCGCATCCCTCCCGAACCTGTTCTCCCGTGCTCGTGGACTTGAAGTCGGGCCCGCCCCCCCTACTGGGGGCTTCTGGGCTACAAAAAAAACAATTCCAACACTACTCGTTTGCATCCCTCCCGCACCTGCTCTCCATGCTCCTGGATTTGAAATCGGGCCCGCCCCCCTACAGGGGGCTTCTGGGCTGCATAATCAACTCAAACATTACTCACCGAATGCCCCACTCCCTACTACTCAGCTACTCTAAAAACTGTAAATTGTAAAACTCATTAAATCTTTACCAGAACTTACTCCCGTAATATGCCCCACCATAGTTCAAAACCATCGTCCCCGTACTATTGTAATGGGTTACTTTTGAATTATTGGGGGATGGACATACCCCCTGTTATAAGAACGTGTGTAGCGAATACGATTCTCTGAGGCCTAACCTGGGGGCGCAAGTGGCTAGCTGGAAAATTGAGGCCACGGCGCCATCTCGAGAACCGAAAACGGACAATCCACGAATCGACGTGCCACTGTTGGGGGGTTCTGTCCACCCCCGAAGTATTACTCCTGTAGAGGGACAGGCCCGACTCAGCCCTGGACCGCCCCTCCTCGCGCGTCGGGCCCCCGCCGTGCGCGGCCTCCTCCTCGTCCTCGCGCCGCCGCCCTGGGAAAAATTGACGCCTCTCCGACGAAAGCCGCGGTGCGCGACGCGCGGCTCTCTTCGCGCCCGTGGAGGCGACCCGATCCGAGGATCCCCTGCCCGAAGAGGAGGAGGAGCAGGAGGAGGAGGAGGAGGAGGAGGAGGACGGGCGTCCAAATCTGGGGGTCCACATTGCGAAACTAATTCCAAGGAGGAGGAGGAGGAGGAGGAGGAGGAGGAGGGGGAGGACCGTGCGTCCAAGAGGGCACGTGCCCGAGCACGACCCCCAGGAGCAGCACGAATCCTCCCTCCTCTCCTTCCTCCGTGCGTCCCAGAGGGTACGTGCCGGAGCACGACCCACGGGAGCGAGCACGCACCTCCTCATCTCATCCTTCCGTGCGTCCCGAGAGGGTTACGTGCCGGAGCACGACCCAAGGGAGCAGACGATCCTTCCTCATCTCTTGTCCGGGCCGCGTACCAGTCGTAGGGTAGTGCCGCGAGCACGACCCAAGGGGAGACAGGGCACGCATCCTTCCATCATTTCTGCCTCCTGTGGTCCCTGAGGGGGTCAGGAGCGACACGACCCAACGGAGCAGCACGCATCCTTCCTCATCTCCTTCCTCCGTGCGTCCCAGAGGGTACGTGCCGGAGCACGACCCACGGGAGCAGCACGCATCCTCCCTCATCTCCTTCCTCCGTGCGTCCCTGAGGGTACGTGCCGGAGCACGACCCACGGGAGCAGCACGCATCCTCCCTCTTCTCCTTCCTCCGTGCGTCCCAGAGGGTACGTGCTGGAGCACGACCCAAGGGAGCAGCACGAATCATCTCCTTCCTCCGTGCGTCCCAGAGGGTCGCAAGTTACTCACAGGCGAAGCTCCCTCACCCTCCGCCTCCCGCGGGCGCGAATCGTGACGTGACCAGCCCCCTCCCCCCCAGGTCACGCCTGTGCCAGAGAACCAAAAAAGTGATTCCGATAACCCCCCAAGCATCCCCAATAGGCCCCCAAGAGGTCCTCCGGTGAGCATCCCAAAAAACTCGCAAGGCGTCAAAACGGCCCTACTCTCGCCAGTCCGGACGTGCACCCAGCGAAGCTGAGGAAGCAGTCCCGGGGTGGACGTGCTGCTCTGAGCGTAGGTTTTTTCGGCACGAACGCTCTTAATCATGCAACGTATTCCCATGTGTCGCATTGATTGCAGCACTCGATTACATATTGTGTTTTGTTACAGTATTATGTCTCCCCGGCCGCCCCGACCCTCCCCTGGAGTCGCGCCAAGCGCCGTGCTTCGGTTACCAAAGTTGGAGCCCCCTTCATTGTCGGGCCCCAAAACGCGTGTACAAAACTTACGCGTTAATAATCACATTTCGGCCTCTTCGGCCTCTATTGCGGAATTGATACATATTGTGTTTTGTTACATTATTATGTCTCCCCCCCTACCCCCCCCCTGGAGTCGCGCCACAGCGCCGTACCAAAAGTTGGCCCCCCTCATTCTGGACCCCAAACCTACAAAAACCGATGTAAAATCAACAATTTCGGCCTCTTCGGCCTCTTGGGACTCCAAGAAGGCGTCAAGGGGGTTCCAGGATGGCCCCATGACGGCCCAAGACGGCCCAATACGGCCCCAAGACGGCCCCAGATGGTCCCAAGAGGGCCCGTCAGGCCCCCAAGACGGCCCAAGAGGGCCCCAAAATGATCCCAAAGGGCGCCTCCATGAGCCAAAATCCTAAATTTCCCAATGGCTTTTTAATAATTTTCGCGTTCTCGCCCTTGCCGGCTCTCAGAGGACCATGACGGCCCAACCAGCCTCCAAGGAGACCCCCAGACGGCCCAAGAGGCCCCCATGGAGGTTCCAAGATGGCCCAAGGGGGCCCGACCCGGCCAAAAGAGGCCCCCATGACGGGCCAAGGGGTCTCCAAGACGGGCGAAGGAGACTCCCAAAGAGCCCCAAGGCGGCCGCGAGAGGCCTCCAAGATGGCCTCCGAAGGGGCTGGGCGGCGCAAGAGCGCCCCAAGACGGCGCAAGACGCAAGAAGAAGCCCCGAGAGGCCCCAAGGCGGCCCCAAAGATGCCCCAAGAGGATCCCTGGAGGCTTCCACGAAGCTCCCATGAGCCCTTCCAGGACACCGCCTCAAGCCCCGGGGATGGCAGGCCGGAGCGGCACACGCGCGCGGAGGCCGAGCATGTCACGCCATGTAACGCCAACATTTTCCACAGTTCTCCACGGCGGCGATGACCAGTTCGGATCGGATGCGCGGCGCCTACTCTGCCCGCCTGCAAGCGCGGCGCCTACTCTGCCCGCCTGCAAGCGGGGCAGAGCATGTCTGCTTTGTCGCGCTGGGAACTCTTCACGGCTGCTCGCATAAACACTGCCGAGCACTGGGCGCATTTCAGCCCCCCGCGCGGATCCCGGCACTGAGCGCAGGTCCACTCTTTCATGTTCCACACTCTGTACTTGGCCGTCTTCGGCCGCGGAGTCGTGCCACATCTCGCGCACGGCGGGAATTTGCAAGACTCGCACCAAAAACCGGTGCTGTACGTCAAGCGGTCTGGAGGCCTTGCTCCGCAGCCTCCCTGACAGAGGGGCTTCCCTTTTTCGTCGAGACATTCTGTGCACGCGGCGTCTTTGACGCTCTTGTGCATCTTAAAAAAGGCTGCATCAAACTGATCCGCTGCCTTCTCCTGCGAGCAGATGCGGCACTTAAAAAGGCGGCCCTCCGACATAATGTTGAAATGCTGCCTCTCAGGGGTGCAAGCGACGCAAACGGCAAGGTCCAGCGCCCCTCTTCCCGTCTAGTCATTGACCTCGCTGCGTCTGAAGTTCTTTAACGATTTAGTCTCCTTGCAGCGATTGCAGACGAGCACGTCTCTGCCTTTCGCGGCGAATGGCTCTGCAGCCGCGGCGGGCGCGCCCGCAGCAGAGGTCCGCTTCTGCGCGCACAGGGCGCACCTCCTCCACGCGCCCTGGCACAGCAACGCCACGGCGTGCTCTACGGGGTCGCTCGTTCTCATGCCGCTGCCTGGGAAGTTGCCCGCTCTCTTCCGCTGGTGGCAGTCGGCGCACTGGAAAGTGACGTCCACCAATTTCTTGGACGACCTGGACGCGGCTTCCTTCTCTGCCTTGGCCCAGCCGGCTTCCGCCTGCTCCGTCGTCATCTCCCCGGCTGTCAGGGAGTGCAAGAGCCATGGGCCCGTCTGATGCCCCTGGCGGAAAAGCATGGGCGAAAAAGGCTGCGTGATGATCAGATCGTCAGCCCTCCTGGTGCGGCTGATGGCCACGTAGCCCGTGGGGACCATGGCTGCGCGGGGCGTCGTGCGCGCGTCCAGGAGGTCGATAATGGCCTGCGGCAGCGTGGCGCCGGTGACGCAGTGGGCCGTGGCGGCGAAGTGCGGGACCAGCGGGAACCCCGCGCGCTTCACCATGGCCTTGAAGCCGGGACTGCGATCCCAGGACACCTCCCTCTGCTTCACGGGGAAGACGCCCGCGGGCTGAGTCCCAAAGCGGGGCGCCGTGTTCCCGGGAATTTGCACCATGATCGCCTCGGGCACGTGCTGCAGGACCAGCTCCGGCTCGGACCTGTGGTCTTTCACCAACTTCGAGTCGTCGGGGTGGAGGACCCAGCCCGTCACGGTACCCCAGGAGTGCTTGCAGGCTCCCGCCTCCGCATTCTCCGTGGTGGTGAACCGCGCCCGCATCCCCTCGAAGATCGGCAGCACACCCGGAACTCCGCCAGTCTTGTTCTCGGGGTACATGAGCCAGTTCTGCCTGGCGTGGGAGAGCGACTCCGTCGACCTGCATGCGTCGTCCCGAGTGAGGGGGACATCGCGCGCCACCACCCAGAGGAGCTGCTTCCCAGCATTGGCTGCCGCATTCGCCGCTCGCAGCGTCAGAATCCTGCTCTTCGGGGCGTTGTACGGGTGCACGAACAGCGCGTCCGCGAACGCCGTGCTCACCTCCCGCTGTCTGGCATCGCTCTGAGAGGCGACGCCGCAGCGCCGATGGCGTTCCGCGCTGCACTCAGCGCACTCCAGGGATTTCATGTCCTCCCAGGCCCGACCTTCTCCGAACATCCGTGGCCACTCAACTGACCAGAGCGCGCGGCACTTCGCCTTCCCGCAGCCGAAGTGCCCCGTCGAGGCCTCGGCGCTGCCGGGGCTTGCGGGCATCCAGGAGCCGGGCACATCAGTGGGGAAGCCGTGGACGAAATCGTACATCCTGTCCGACAGATTCCCAGCGCGCGCTTCGGCGAGAAAGCTTCTCCACCACACGTCTGAGCAGCGGTGCGACTGGGCCAGGGCGTAGCGGTTAGTCACCGGGTGCGGCAAGCCCTCTGTCCAGAACATCTCCAGTATGCGGCCGACGTTGGCGGGTCTCTTGACAAATGGGTTGGCGGCAATACTGAGACTCCTGACGGGCGGTATCTGCCATAAGTCCCCGAGCAGCACCAGGTTGAGCCCTCCGAACATGGCGAACTGTTTTGGAACGCGTGCGTCCACGGCCCAGGGGCTTCCCTTGTCCCTCGTCGAGTCCTTCACCTGCCTGTGCACGGCGTCCAGCAACTCCACCGAAACGTTCTCCACCTCGTCGATGATGAGCCAGCGCATGTGCTGGATTTTCGTGTGCAGCATGTTCTCCGACAACTCCGGGTCCTTCTTCCCGCCGGACTGGACTCCCGTGATGAGGTCGATTCCGAGCTTGCTGAAGTTGTGGATGGTTCGCCCACCGATGTTGCTCGCCATGGAATTCATGGGGGCGGTCTTGATGAAGTGCACCTCGTGTTCCCATCCCATGCACGTGGGGAACAGCCCCACGCCCTCCTCGCACAGCCACCGGATGACCTCCGATTTCCCTGAACCCGGCAGGCCGAGAACGAACAGCCGGGAGCATGGCGATCCGCGCAGCTGGTCCTGCTCGCGGGCCTCCTGGACGCACCTGTCGGCGACGGCGTCCAGGATGCTCATCTGCTGCGGGTCGGGGGTGATCTGGTGCGTCTGCAGTCCTGCGATCGGGCAGGGATGCGCATGGCCTTGCCTCCCTTCACACTACCCACCTTACCGACGACTGCTGCACAACCCTGTCTGCTACACATCACACGTGCCGCGCCACCTGCCTGGCATGCCCAGACGTGTATACATCTGGGAAGTCCATGTTTATACATACACACACTATACGCGCGTGCACATGTAGACGCGTACGCGCACCTTCCACAGAGCACGCATGGCGCGACCGAGGCAATGCAAGCAAACGCAGCGCCATCCTTCTAAGTGTATACACGAAGCCTCGCTTGTAATCAACCTTCCCCATACTTGGATCTACTCACCACTTACGACATGACGTTCTGGAGTATACATGATGTGTACACATTCTGCACATGCTCTGTACAAACTCTGTTCGATACACGCCAGCTCAAACGCCGAGGTTTCCATCCTCGATATCTTCTTCCAGAGCGAGACGAATCGGGCGCCACCGACCGAACTGCATCCAGATCGTGCTTTTGCCAACTGCACGTCTCGAGATTGCCCCCCCCCGGTCCTCTCCGCCAGCTCTGGATGTTGCTTGTCAGGTCAGCGTCGCCAGGGTACAGCTTCTCCCGCATCTTGGAGCGCGCAATCTTCCGCGGTGGCTCCTGGGCAGTCCCGCGAGCCCCCGCTGGCATTGCACTGGAATGCCGAAGAGCAGACTGTCGCAGTGGCAAGTTCAACGTGGGCGCCCTGTTCGGCGGGTCCCAGAAGGACATGCTCTGCTCCAGCGCTTTGTGCACCGAATGGGAGAGGTTCCCAATGTCCTCGCCAGCGGCATCTGCCCCGGCGTCTCGGTCTACTCGCCGTAACTCTGCCATGATGCTGCTGGGGCTGAGGACCGGAAACGCGTTCTCGGGTAGCGCCTCCACCGGCTTCGAGTCCTGGTCGTCCTCGCCCTCGTCGGCGTTCTCCGGCATCGTCGTCATGGTGCGGAGCACGTTCGCCCACAGGATGCGGTTGGACGGCGAGACGATGTGGCCGCGAAGGTAGTGCTTGTGGGCTACTCGGAAGCTCGGCGCGCTCCTCCCACAGCGCTGGCGCTTGGGCGGCAAGTTCAGATTCTTCGCTAGCGGAACAGGCCCCCGAGAAGATCCGTACTTGCACACCAATGTCCATGGTCGGAAGTACGCAGACAAACTGGCGCTGCGGCGCTCAGGCGTCATTTCGGGCTGAGGCATGACGGACCCGATGAAGACGGGTAGCGCGGGGACGCCCCGGGGTACAATCACGTACATGTGCGCGAACTCCATGTCGTCTGGGTCTTCTTCGAGCGCAAAGTACCTGCATCCCTCCGCGGGTGGCTTCACGACATAATGGACCCCAGGCCGTGGAGGCCCATCAGCCGCGGCCGGCGGCGAATTCGCCTTCCACTCCGTCGGGCCCGTCGATGGCTTCGAAGCATCTCTTGGTGGCGGGTACGTTGGTACCACCTCGAACAAGCGGACGAACTCGTACGGGCTCAAAGTCTTCAACTCGGCATGATTGGGTCGGTAGGCGTGCGCTCGCGCCGTCGCGTCCGGCGGAGTGGCCACCTCGCCTGCGTCCGTGAACACCACGGACCTCTTCTGGCGCCGCGCCGTCGCGCGCCCCGCCCGAGTCTCGTCGGCCACGATCTGGAGGAAGCAGCCCGCGTAGAAGTCGGCGACAGGGCGCGACGTGATGCACTCCGCTGCGAGCGGGTTCGGCCTGTCCGCGAAGTGCGCCAAGTTCACCTCCTCGAAGATCGTCCGCGCCACGCCCTTGGCCTCCCAGTCCCCGATGCAGCGGTGCACAGTGTTGAGCGTCTGCTGCATCTCGGACTTCCCATGGAGTCGCTCGGCCAGCGTGGACAGGCAGGTCTTCGCCAGTTCCAGCGCCTTCTTCCCGACGCGCTGCACCTTGGAAATGCACCCGCCGATGTACCGCGAGGAGTTCGACATGGACCGCTGCACCGCGAATGCGATGCGTCGAAGGTGCCCTTCTTCTGTGTCTTCTCTGGAGCCGTGTCGACACAGGCAGTTCGGGTCGTGAGTAATGCCTGTGATCAGCGGGAGCCGGTTGTTCGGCGCCGTGTGCGTGTTGCTCCGAAATGCCACCGCCAATGCTGGACAAGTCCCGCTCAGGAAATCGTCGTTCCGAGGCCCCGCGATCTCGCCCAACGCATTCCTCGGCCCGTTCACTTTAAGCCCGACTTCCCTGGCCACCTGAGGGCACACAACGCGGAATCTCGGTCCATCTGGGGCCGCCATGAGCATGGTCTTCGGGAAGCCGTGCTTGCACTTGTCGCCGTGTTTGCAGCCTTTCTTGATGCAGTGTGTGAGCGGCTTCCCGTTGGGATGGTGGCGATGCTGGACCTTCGAGAAGATCATCTGCGCATCTGCCTCGTAAGCCTGCTTGAAGGTGGCCGCGTCGGCGTCGCAGGCAACGGCATCGCACCCCTCGTCCCACTTCGTCTTCGGCTCGGCATGGTCCACATACGCGGGCCACCGACACAGACCTACGTGCTCCGTTGCGCGGTGATTCTGCCGCCACTCAGACTCCAGCGACGGTAGGCTCTCCCGGTGCTCCTCGGGGGCCCAGTGCTCTTCCCTGTGGACCCACGCGTGCCACTCCTTCACCGCGTCCGCCAAGCCAGGGGACTCCCGAATTGTCCTCGCGATCTCAGTCAAGGGTGCGTGCTGGAACATGTTCGCGAGGTACACGAACCCGTGGAAGTGGAGCGTGCCTAGGTGCTGGTTCTCGACGGCGCCAAGCAAAGCTGCAGCAACCCCGAAAATCCCGCCCATGGGGCGCGAATTGGAGCCGAACTTGTCCGTGCAACAGCACCGGGGCTGCCTACGATATCTTCGCGCGACGCCGCACTCGGCGCACAACCGCAGACCCAGGAGGCGGCCCAAGATCACGTTCACGGCGACGCGGAAGCCCTGAACGACCGAGAGAGGATCATTGGCCACTTCGCACAGACGCAAATCGAAATCGGGGAGCTCCGCGTCGGCGCTCTCCGACTGACGGCCACTCCCGTGACGCCAATCGTTTCCTCATGGCATTCCGTGCGTCGTCTGTGCACCCCGCGCGCAGCAGCGGGTCGCCCTGGCGTGCTCTGTGTAGACGCATCACCAAGCAGGACTGCTTCTCATTTGGCGAGATGGTGATGAAAAGCCCGTGCCCGTATCCAATCGCGCCAGACTGGAATACGTGGCCCATCCTGCGACGCAGCTCCTGGGTGCCTGCAAGGCTGCTCGTCACAGAGCGCATGTTGTGCACGATCTGTTTCTGGGTTGTGTCCAGGCCATGCGCCATGTGCAGCACCGTCAAGTTGCCAGCAATTGGCCGCCTGTTCGGCCCGTAGTACCCCTTCGCCAACAGGTCGTGCAACCCGCGGACAGCCGTGGTCAGGCGCTCCGTGAAAGCGGATCCGTCTTCGTCCTTGTACTTCCTGACTTTGCTCCCCAACCTCGCGGTGATGCCCAAAAAGCGGAAGTGGACATTGCGCATGCCTGGGATGAAGAGCCAGTCCGATCGGATCTGGTGTTCCACTCGGCGACTCATGCCTGCAAGCCACATCCCCATGCTGATGGACGGCCGGGTTTGCACTTCCTCGGGCCGCCCCACCGCGCGGCGCCGATGTGCGGCATCGGCACCGTTGCGCCAAGACCTCGTGAAGTCTGGCCCCCCGCTCTGCCACAGCAGCGTGTGCGGGAAAGCGATCGCGGGGTACTTCCCGTTCCACTGCTCCAACATGGCCGCGTCGGCGACGTACGGGACGACCAGCCCGCCGTCCATGGCTCGCTGTTGGCGCTGACCCGCGGTCCCTTGCCGGGACGTCGCATCTGTGGGCGCGCAGGCGGTCGGTCTGGCATCGTCGAAAACAGAGGCGACGTCAGTGCTGGCCAGCGCCGGAGTCGCGTGCTTGTTATCCTGCACACTGCTCCTGGAGGATCCGCCACCACCGTCGCCCGGTCCACGGCTGGCGGGACCTTCCCGTCGGCGTCCTCGGGGGTGCCGAGCCACGGGTAGCACTGCTTCACGCGCCTTTCAAACGCCTCCTTGGCAGCGGCGATTGCGATGGGATTGCCAGCAGCATCTCGACAAAAAGCGGGGTGGCCGCGGTCGATGAGCTCCCAGCCGAGCTGCAGCACCACATGAGCGCGGAGGCGCATGTGCTTCAGGTGCTTCGACATGTCCTTGTCTTTCATCCGGACCTCGAAGCGAACCAAGTGGGCCAGCGTCTCGCCGTCGTGGGGCAGCGCCGCAGCAGCACTGGAACTCTCCGTGATGGCGAGCAGGCGCTCCAGGACGTCGTCCCAATGCACCAGGAAGCTGGCCAGATTACCGCGGACAGCGTACCGACTGTGCGGATGCATGGCCTCTGGGGTTCGCCGTGCGAGCAGCGCGCCACTACCCCCCGTGCGCCACTCGGCCACACTGCAGTTTCCAGGGGGGGCGGGGTCCGCAAAGAACAGAGAAGGGGCAGTGCCGCGCTACTTCGCGCAGCTCGCCTGATTGTTCATGAGGTGGCCCTTATCGCCCTCGACGTAGAACGCCATCAAACTCGTCCACACTGGCGTGGCCGCGGCCATCTCGATCCACCGGGGCTTGTGCTTCTCCCACCATGCCGACACGAACCCGACAAAATTGTCGTTGGCGATGGCGGGACGCGGGATTCGCTCCCGCACCGTTCGCGTCTTCGCGAAAATGCCGCGGCACTGCCAGCACAGAGGTATGCGGCACGACTCGCTCAGCTCATCAACAACTCCATGCTGACGGTCGCACACCACGTCTTCCGGGCAGCACAGGAAGCGCATGGAGTTCTGGCTTCCGTTCGGACCATTCCACCGCACCGGTCGCACCCACGGCGAAGACGCGGTTGTCTGCGTCGGATAGTGGTGCGACCGCGTCCCGCGGTGGTCCGGAGCAGGGTGCGGGAAGTGCGCCAGGAACGCGTCCAAGCCGAAGGCGTACTCCAGGAGCTCACGCGGACAACTGCGCAAGAGCCCGCGCAGTGGCGTCCATCCAATCTCACTGACTCCAGCGGACTCGGGGTCCTCGACACTCGTGTAGATCTGACCGCAGCAGAAGCACACCAGCGACGACAAACAAGCATCGTTCGCCACTTGCCTCATGGTGCGAATTGCCCGCCGGTCTCTGCAAATGCCGAGAGCTGGCATGCCAGTGCGCGCCCGGACCTCCACCGCCTGGCAGTAGATGGACCAGATCCACGCTTCCTGCTCCTCCAGCACCTCGGCATGGACGCCGACATCGTCGGCGCTGTCAGCGAGTCTCTTGTTCCACCCCTGCCTCCACGCTGCTGGGAGGCAGGCCTGGTGGCAGCTGATTACGTGGCGCCGCAAATCCCCTTCCGTCTCCCCGGTCCAGCGGCGCTGCCGAACGGCGCAGTTGCAGATCGGCCACTGCAATCCGTCCATTACCTCCTGGATGTTGTCTGCGGCGTCCGACGGGTCGAACGGCGGAGGAAGCGTCGGGTCCTGCCGGAGAAATGCAGAGAAAGCCCGAGCTGCTTCGTGGGCGACGTCCAGCGTCGTGTGCGCCACGTCGGCGCCGCAGGCCAAGTGGTCAACGTCGGACTGCCCTGACCCGGCAGGGGCCTCCGACAGCTCGGAATTGGAGTCCGACGCCGGCTCTGAGGGCGATGACTCCCGGTCGGCGTCGGAGTCAGACTCGGGGGCCTCCGCGGCTGCAGCGGCATGCTCTTCGCGTTCGCCCTGCGGTCGGAGACGCCCTGACGCGGCGCGCGGCAGCCGCGCCCCGTCGGCGGCCTGCGGGCGCGCGTTGCTGCCGGAACTCGCGCCCGCCGCACTCCCTCTCAGTGAACTGCAAGCGCCCGGACGCCTCGGCTCAGGATGCGGCGGCGGCGGAGAAGGCGCCCGAGCGGGCGCGCCAGCGGAAGAGTCTGCCGCGCCGACTTCATGGCGCGAGCGTGGAGGCCGGGGTTCAGGATGCGGCGGCGGCGGCGGAGGTGGCAGCGGTGGCGCGGTCTCCACTCCCAGAGGGTCGTCGAGAATACGTAGAACCTGATGACAGAAAGCCGCCACGTCCTCCTCGCCGAATAGCGCATCCACGTCAGCGAAACACGACGGGTCGCTGAACTTCCCCCGGCACGCGGTCGACGGCTCCCACGGTCGCGGAGCGTTAGCTCCTGACGTCGCCACGTCCACCGCATCGTAGTGTGAATACCCGTCGACGTCATAGTGGACAAAAGCAAAATCGAGCACTGGGATTTGCGCACGTCCCTGCAGCAACCCCTGGTCCGGGAAGATGGCCGCCTGGCTCCACGCGTTGAATGGCACGTACAGAGCGAGAGCGCCACAAGCCTCCAGGAAGTGCGTGATCACAACAGCGTCTGCATATCGGCGCGTTGCCGACACGTCCTCCGAATGGAGGCCCATGCATATGTCCACGTAGAACACCTGCAGTGGGCGGGGGCAAGAGATAACGCGGGGGTCACTGCGACTCCGCCATTGAAAGCCAGACCAGTCCCCCAAAAAATTCCTTCGCCCGAGTGAACGCACAAGCGCGGCCCCAGACGCCCTCTCGGCAACGCCCCGACGGCCCCGCCCTCAGAGTTCGAAAGCATCGCGTGCCTCCTGTGCAAGCACTATTTGGGAAATGTGCTCCTGGATCTCCGGGCTCCGCGAAGGGCACCCCTTCCTCCCCGTGCCCGCGGCGCCACCTTCCAGTTGGGGAGACTGCCCCACGCGACGCCACTGGCCACCTGCGCTGGCAACTCCTTCTGCAGGCGGGCCCTCCTCTCCACGGCGTACTCGTCCAGCTGCAGCGCCTCGAACAATTGCTGGTTCCGCTGCCTCATCATCTTCACCAGCGCCCATCTGTACAGCTTCCAAGCCGCGCGGCCTGGAAGTCCCAGTTCGGCAGCCGCAGCGCGGAAAAAGCACAGCCCGTCTCCACGAACAGGGCGCACGGACAGCCGCATCCCTGGCCGCGTCGCCGAGAGCAGATCAGCCACGCGACCCAGCGACTCGTTGGCGCAACTACTGCGGGACCGCCTGATGGCCTCCCCGTCATCGTCGAGCCCAACCTCGCTCACGCGCGCCTGGTCGACTGCGAACTCCTCGTCGCTCGACTCCGCCATGGCGCGCCAGAAGCGTCGCCGCCCCGCGGGCCAACTGGGCAGCCCTGACTGCGGCTAGACTGGACCCCGGAGCCGCTATCGAGCCCACATGGTTTACAGATGCCGCGCGCGCTGAGATGGGCCATTGTGGGACGCACGGCTAATGGACGAATTCCGATGCGACCTCAGGTTGCGCGGCGCTCGGCGCATGCTCCGGGGTTGTTTTCAAAATGGTCTTGCATTGAAGCGTGATTTTCGGAAGGGCGCTCGCAGACGCCACGCAGCCCCCTGGGGCTCCACGATCCCGGAAGTCTAAAAGGACCTGGGGTTCACAGAGACAGAATGGATCACAACCTCCGATGCCCCAGCGAACGCGCTGCCCGCCCACAGGGGTCGGATCAAAAGGCCTCGAAGGTGCAGCCAGGAAGCAGAATCACAGAGCCCGAGATCGGCTTGGCCATCGCTCCCCGGAGTATCTCCCGCGGTCACTGCGGGTTCGCATTGAAGTTTAAACGCGACCTCAGGTTGCGGGACAGACAACGCAGAAGTTCCCCAGCAGTGATGAAGACGATGGTGGTGCTCATGATGGTGACCGTTATCGTGTGGCCTCGTGCGCCGGCGAGTGATGATGACGATGGTGGTGCCGGTGATGGTGATGCCGATGGTGGTGTTTGTCGTCCTGGCGGTGCTGATGATGGCAGGTAGGATGATGATGGCGAGGCTGATGATGAAGGAGGTTGCTTTCAAAAATCGGACAGACCACTGGGATAGCTTCAGAAAGATGAGGGAGGGAGGTTTTTGCAACAGCGCTGGACGTACAAGCCTAGACCGAGCGTTTGGGGTTATGGCTGCTTTCGCTTTTTATTGTGCTCGAAAAAGGTCAAAGCTAATGTACAAGCAGCACCGTGCGAGCAGCTGCGGATCGAAAGTCCCGATAATCATGGGAGCGCGCTGTATGGCCGACGGGGAGAGCTGGAAAATGTTACTACCTGAGCGCTGGACTACCTGAGCGCTGGAACGAGTCATGCGGGTTCACCCCTCAGTGTCAAGAGATGTGAAAGCACGACGAGGCGTTGGTCAAGAGGCCTGGTCAAAACTGCCGCTGAGAAGGCAAAGCTGGTTCTAGCCGAGTCTGTGGCTCGGCAGTCGTGGCGCTGAGAGGGCAAGGCTGGTTGTAGCCGAATATACTCGGGGGTTGCCAGGGGTGCCCCCGGCCCAATGCGCTTCTGGCTTCTCGTGCCATTTTAGAGCCCCCAGGGCCCTCTGACCCCCGCGAGGAGCGCTCTGGAGGCCGCGGGGGCCCCCGCGGACCTTCTGGGGCACCTTGGGCCAAGGACACCTTGAGCATCATCCGATATAGCGCCGGCCAGCCTGCGCTCGGAGCGGCGCTACTTCCCGGCGCCGCCCTGGCGCGGCACGGCCGCGGCAACCGCGGCGAGGGCATCGAGGGTGAGGGCGCTCACTGTCTCCGCGTTCTCCATGGGCTCCAGGGCGCGCAGGAGGTCGCCCGTGGGGGGGCTGTCGCGCACGAGCACAAGCAGAACCTCCAGGCCGTCGAGCAAGGGCTCCAGCCCGTCGAGCTTCGCCATGTCGTCCGCCAGCATGGCCGCCTGCGCATCTGCCTGCAATGATTCGAGGAAGCGATCAAGCTTCGCCACGATCTTCGCAACGGCCGCCTCCGGCGACATGCCCCTCGCCGCCGCCGCGGCTGCCATGTCCCCCTCGATGATCGTCGGGCGCTGCGCCCACTCGAGCCTTCGAACGGGGGTTGCATTTCCCGAGGCAACGCGCCCTCTGCGCCGCCGCGTCGGGAGCGGTGCGCGGGGATCGGGAAGACCGCGACATGAACGCGATAATCATAGCCGCGCTTGCCTTCCCGACGCGGAAACGCCCGGGCGCCCCCCCCGAAAATGCAACCCTCGCGCGGCAACCTGTCGGCCGGGAAAGCCGCCGCCGGCCAGCGAGACACGGCGCCCGCGAGCGCCTCCGCGCCGACCCCCGGCATCTCCACGAAACGCTTGACCGCGGCAGCGATGTCCAGCTGAATGCCCTTGAACGCACGGTATTTCGCCCTCTCCGCAGACTGCGCTGCGCTCCGCGCTTCCCCCGCTGCGAACGCCGTCGCCGCCTCGAGGTACGCGCCCACCGTCACCTCCGCCGCGGCGGCGGTCGGCGCCGGGACGGCGTGGGCCAGCGGCGCGGCCGCGGGCGCCGGCGCCTGCGCATCCCCGGCGACGCCCGCAGGCGGAGCCACCGCCGGGACCGCCAAGGCTCCGCCGCTGGCCATTGAAGCGGCACCGACCGCCGGGGCGCCCGCGGGCGCACGCGCCGGCGGCACGGCATCCGCGCCCGCGCCAACCGCCGCCAACGACATCGCCATCGACGCGGCAACGCCGCCCGCCGTCGCCACCTGGGACGCGCTGGCGGCGCGCGACACTTCCGCCGCCGCGGCCGCTGACGGCGGCGCCGCGCCAGCGCCAACCGCCTCCACCCCCGCCGTCGGCGATTCAGCGACGCCGCCCGCCATCGACAGCTGGAAAACGCCGGCGGCGGTTGTCTCTTTCGCCATCTCTGCCTGCGCCCCGCGCTGCCCCGCATCCACGGACAGCGTGACCGCGGCGAAGTGCTCCGCGATGAATTTGTCCTCGCGCGCCTTCACCTTCGCGGCCACTCCGGTCAAGTCCGTCGCCGGGGCGCAGGCCGTGAAGACGGACCGGAACCGCTCCACCGCGCAAGCGCATAGAGCTCCAGACGGGACGAGGAACGGGTACTCCTGCACCAGATCGAGGAGCCCATCGACGTACTTGTCGGCGACCAGTCCCACTGGGCGAATCTGCACGGAATGCCACGACGTCCACCTGGAATGGTTCGTGGAATTCGTGTTCTCCCGGAACAGCAGCTTCGACGCTCCGCCCTGGTGCGAGAACCCTCCTGGGCGGCCAACGGCATTTACGCCCATGGCCTCGCCGATCAGTTGGCGCAGCTCGGCGCGGAACTCCTCGAAGGTCTGCGTGTACATCCCGAAGCACCACGCACCTGGGGCATTCGCAATGCCGCCCTCTGCCGTTTCCTGGACGACAGCAGTCGGGTTGTCCTGGTGCGACGGGCTCATGTACTCGGCCACGACGTTCTGCGGCAACCCAGCATTGAATGCTGTGGCCCACTCGGGGACGTTGGCCGCATTCTTGGAAATCAAGCCGGACATCCAACGAACTGCGTTCTTGGACTCCTTCCTGCAGACAAGCTCGTCCGCATCCGCGAGCACTCCGACGATGCCGCCATCAAATGCCAGGCCCTTTGCCTGCACACTGACGTCGAAGAATACCTCCAGCACCATGGCCTGGACCTTCGAGTTCGCGTCCATCTTGCGGGCCTTCAGCGGGGAGCCACCGGCCGACTGGAGGAACGAGGTCATGCTGAGGAAGTCAACGCGAGTTCGCTTGCCTGAGAGAACACCTTGGTCCGAAGTGGCTGCGGGACTTCCACCTTGCCTTCTCTTTCAGATGGACAGCCTTCATCTGCAGGGCTCTTGGCGTCCACGACGGCCCCATATGCCTCCACAGTGACAGTAGGACGCCCAGAAGAGGCTCCCAATAATGCCTCCGCAGACCCAAAAGTGACCCGGCAGGCCTGCAAAATGGCGCAGCTCGCCCACGCGCATGAAAAGATATCCCCAGAATGCCTCCGAATAAATTCAAATGATATAGCTGCGGTGCTGCGAAGACAGGAACGAATCCCACAGACGGGCCAAAGTAGCCCCAAGAGGCCCCAAGAAGGCCCCACAGATCCTCCCACGAACCCGCGAAAATGGCGTGCGGCCCCAAAGAGCCCCCGATGGGAAAGACGAACTGGCATTTTGAACCTTTCCCCCCAAGATGGCCCCCAAGAAAAAGAAAAGCCTCCCGCGGGCTCCCTGAAAAGACCCCAACAGGCTCCAAGATGGCCTCGCGATGAGGCCCCCCAAAGCGCCCCAAGACAGCCCAAGGTGACCCCAATAAGGTCGGCTGAAGAGGCTCCCAAAATGGCCTCAAGATCAGAGGCCCCCAAGAGTGCCCCAAGACAACCCAAGGTGCCCCCAACAAGGTCGGGGACGGCCAGCACGACAACGAGCATGGACCAGGATGGACATCAAGACGGCCGACACGGCCTTCAACGTGAAGGCTGAGTGACTCTGAATGTGAGTGAGTCTGAATGTGAATGTGTCTTCGCGTGTGAGTCTGAATATGACTGAGCACACTGTTACTGTATCTGGGTGTGAGCGGTATGCGGAAGACTCAGTCAGGGAATCAGAGAATCTGAGTTGGAGTCTGAATGGGCTGTAGGGCTATAGGGCTATAGGGCTCTAGAGCTATGCGGCTATAGGGCTATAGAGCTATGCGGCTATAGAGCTATAGGGCTATACGGCTATAGGGCTCTAGGGCTCAAGGGCAAAAGGGATATAAGGCTATAGGGCTATAGGGCTATAGGCCTATAGAACTATAGGGCTACAGGGATATAGGGCTATGGAGCTATACGGGTATGGGGATATAGATGTGAAGGAATATCGGACTACATTGCTATATGGGCTATTGGGCTATTGGGCTACAGGACTATAGGGCTAAAGGGTTATAGGGCTATAGGGCTATAGGGCTATACGGCTATAGGGCTATAAGTCTATAGCGCTATAGTGCTCTAGGGCTCTAGGGCTATAGGGCTATAAGGCTGTAGGGCTATAGGGCCATGTAGGCTATAGGGCTTTAGAGCTATGGGGCTATAGGGCTATAGAGCTATAAAGCTATAGGGCTCTAGGGCTCTAGGAATATAGGGCTATAGGGCTACAGGGCTATAGGGCTATAGGGCCTCCGAATGCCCCCAGAAAGCTCCAAAGATGCTCCAGGAGTGCAAAGTCGATCAGGGCCCCCGCTGGTGGCCCCGCAGGGTGACACCCATTCGGGAGCAGAGCCTCCCTCCTCCGGCTCCCCCCTTCCAATACGAAAGCGTCTGAGACTTCCGCGCTCTTGAGGTTCGTGAGAAACCGTCTTCAAGGCTTCCCCATTGTCGGACCCTCCCCTACGTCCGAACCGCTCCCATACTGCTTAAAACCTCACTCTTATCCGAAAACGTCTTGGCGCGATCTTGGAGGCTCTTCGGGCCGTCGTGGAGCGTCCGAGACACGAAACAGCGAGAAGCACACGACCACGACCTCTGACGGTGCGCTTTGACCAGAGTTCCGAGGTGAATCCAGCCGCGACGCCGAGGGTCCCCCAGGCGAAAACGAGGAAACGTAATCGGCATCGGTGTGTTTTCCTCCTCTGAGGGCAGGCAAGCCGTCCCTGCCAATGCCGAAAATGTGCGCTGCCTGGATTTGCCAGGTTACGCTGGATGGCTGCCCTTAATGTCGTCATGACTCTGGTGCGCTGCCCGGATCTGCCGGGTCACGCCGGATGCAGCGAGTCAAGCGAGAGACGGCTGGGAGTTCTGGTAGCAAGTAATAAAGCGAGAGGACCTCGAGGAGCACGTCCGGAGCACGTCCGGGGCCTCCCTGGAGGGGTACGAAACAATTTAAATAGTATGGTTTTCGGATACCCTCCTCGCTCAGGCAGGGCCTCCGTGGAGGTGTGGGAGGGGCACGAAACCATGTACATAGTATGGTATTCCGATACCCCCCTAGCTCAGGCGGGGCCTCCCTGGAGGTGTGGGAGGGGCACGAAACCATGTAAATAGTATGATTTTCGGATACCCTCCTCGCTCAGGCGGGGCCTCCCTGGAGGGGTGGGAGGGGCACGAAACCATGTAAATAGTATGGTATTCCGATACCCTCCTCGCTCAGGCGGGGCCTCCCTGGAGGGGTAGGAGGGGCACGAAACCATGTAAGTAGTATGGTTTTCGGTATGGAGTGGTCTGGAATGGTATGGTAGGTATGGTTTGGTACGGTATGGTATGATATGGTGTGGTATGGTACTGGAGGTATGGTATGGTATGGTACGGTGTGGCATTGGTGTGATATGGTATGGTATGCTATGGTACGCCATGGTATGGTATGGTACGGTATGGTACGTATGATGTGGTATGGTATGGTATGGTACGGTATGGTATGGTATGTGTGGTAGGAACTATGGTATGGTATGGTGTGTGGTAGGAATAATATTGTGTTGCATGGAAGATGGAGCGGGAGGTGGGTGGGAAGGAGAGGGTGTTCTTGGAAAACAAGAACCCCACTCAGGATGTGGGGGGCAAAAAAAGACCAGGGCCGAGCAAGCTCAAGCCAAGTGGTAGGGCGGAGGCGAGGCAAGTCCTTCGCGGCACCGTCCCCCTCCCTCTCCTCTTCCCCCTCCCACTCCCCTCTTCTTCCTCCTCCTCCTCCTCCTCCTCCTCCTCCTCCCCCTCCTCCCCCACGCCCTCTCCTTCCTTTCTCCTCCTAGCGGCGCCGCACCTGCAGCCCGCTTAAAACGCACTCTCTCTAGAAAGACGGAGCGCGCCATAGGCGGCTAATGGTCGTCTCACTCTTGGTTGCCCACTGCCCTGTCTGCCGGTCCCAGACCCAGCGCGTCCTGTCGCACAGAGTGAACTGCACCCGGGTCCACTTTGGGAGCGCCTCGTCGTCATCAGCAAGGCTCCGGTGATCCGCGGCCCTGCGATCGGGGCCCGCATCCAGGGTGTCAGGGAAATCGTCCCCCTCAAAGTTGTAGATGACCGTGGTGAAGCGCTGACGCGGCTTGCCCTCCTGAGGTACCGGGGATCGCGTGATGGCCACGAGGCCCTGGCGGACGCGGTCCCTATCGATGGTTCCGCCCCCGGGCACCTCCCCGCGAATGCGCCGCGGCGCACGGACGAGGTCATCGGTGATCATATCCTCGGTGCAGAGACCTCCGGTGACAGGGCGCCCGCCTGAATCCTCACGACGCAACACCCTGGGCAGGAGGTCCGTCGCGCGAGCCGCGAACTCCGTCGCGAAGGTCGGCAACGCGGCGTCGGACACGAAAGCCGACCACGCATCCCAGAGCCGCGTCGCCACGTCCTCGGCGAAGTTCAGCGAGACCGCCATGGGCAACGCTAGGTGCCCGTTAGGGGTCGCCTGGCGGATTGCCACAAAGCGGCAAAACTCCGTCTCCAGGAAAGTCAAGAACACGCTCAAGAAACGAACCCAGACGCCCTCAAACCCACCTCGCAGCTCCCCAGGGGCTGGCGCGGCCAGCGGCCGCGGCACGACGCCCTCCGCGCTGCGCAACTCGGCCGAGGCTGTCGCGGCCGACGGCGGCGACGCGACGGCTGCCGCTGCCAACGGCCGAAGAGGAGGAGGACGCGCTTGCGCCCTCGCAAGGTGCGCCGCCGCCTGGGCCACGAAGGGCCTCGGGCTGCGGCTCCGCGCCGTGGTGGGCGCAGCAGGAGGCGCCGGCGCTGGAGAACATGGCGCCGGAGGGTCGTTGGAGGCTGCTGCGCGGTCGCGTTTCTGTTTGCGCGCCCGGGCGCCCATCTGTGGAGCAGAGGGCACGGAGGACGCGAGGCCCGAAAGAGGAAAGCTCCTGCGAGCGCAGAGTGGACTTGGGCCAACATGGGCAGCGGAGGAGCGACACGTCTGTAAGGAAAACAGACCCTGTGAAAAGGGAAGCTTCCGACTCCTGCATTCTCCCTTGTGCGTCTCGGAGGGTACGTGCCGGAGCACGACCCACGGGAGCAGCGCGCCTCGTCTCCTTCCTCCGTGCGTCCCAGAGGTACGTTTGGGCCCAGAGATGGTGTGATTACACTCCGGCGGTCGCCACCGTCTCAATTGCGACGCGAAGGTAAGCAACCCATCTCTTCAGAAAAACGTGTGAAACTAGTTTGAAACCACGGGGAGTTGTGCGCCTCCTCATCTTCCGCAAGCTCGGATGGAAACTCTACCCTGGCTCTGAAACTCTGGTCCGAACTTTGCGCGGAGGCGGGCACTACAAAGCCACGTTGCACCGCGTACGAAACGTCCCATTCTAAGAAACGACGTTCCAAGCTGGACCTCGCCTGCCCTAGGCGGCTGCCACAGGGAAATGGCGCGAGAGGGGCTGGGCTTGTAAGAAATGGCGATGGCTTTCTTTTCAAGGCGGGGGCCCTCATGAGAAGGTTTCTCAGAGCCGCGGGGGCTTCGAAAAAAAACCCGCCGCCTCCGTAGAACCCAGTCCCTCTCACGCCACGCCGCCATCTGCCCAAAGTGGAACATCCGCCACCGTGCAGCGAGGCACGAATTGGAGCACCCTCGCCTGTAGTCCAAAGTCCCCTGTCCTCAGGAATGAATATTGAGGGGCATGGACTCCAAACTTTCAAATGCTCCTGGGATCCCCTTGTGCTTCCCGCGGTTACCCAGCGTTTCCTGCATGACTTTTCTCAGAGCCGCGAGCGTCCCAACACGGGCCAAGAAGGCCCCGAGACGCCTCCGACCTACCGCCCAGGTACGGTGGCGGGATGGGCCGAAGGCCAGCAGATGCCACGACACA